CAAAATGGAAAGCAAATTAAGTCACCCTGCTCTGGGGATTGCAGCTCAGCAGAGAGTATTTGCCTAGCAAGAATGAGGTCTTATGTTTCATCCCAGCACTGAAAAAAAAAATGTACCTAAAAACCTGTATGTGACAAGACCCATTTTATTCCCATGGCATATAAAGCTGTGCACTGTGAGGTCAGGATCACTGCTTCTGAGATCTGCTTCAGTGGGGTAAGGCCTTTCTGTGCCTCAGTTTCCTTATCTAAACGGAGACTGCAGTTGTGTCCACATCAGAGTTCCTCAGTGGATCCAACAGGATGGATCCAACATCTAAGACCTTCATGTCCATGGTAAATGGCAGTGCCATCAAGTCTGTATGCTTGGGGACCTCAGTAGCTGAAAGACACGTGCTCAGGGGATAGCCCTGGGCTACCCCGAGGACAGCCCCAGCCTGGGTGGTACAGGGTGGTTCTGTGGAATTCTTCTGGAATTCTGCCCTGCTACACGCAAGGGACAGCCCTTCTGTTAAGGGCTTTCCTACAAGCACTCCACAGTATAATTGACTAGGCTTCTCTTTCCTTAAAAAAAAAAAAATAAGTTTAAGGTATAATTTACATGAGATAAATTCATTCCTTTAAGATATGAGTCAGTGATTTCAGGTAATTTTACACTTTTGTTGGACCACTGCTACAACTTCATTTTAGAACTTTTCCACCCACCCTCACCCCCACCCCAGGGAACCTGTGACTGTTTGTTCCTCCCATCCCCAATCCTGAGAGCCACCATGGTTGCAGTGAGTGCAACCCCAAGTGTCACTGCGAGGCTCTCCGGGAGTGCAGCAGGCCATCTTACCTGGGTTCTCACCATCTAACCCAACCAATCATTTTAAGTCGTCTGCCAAGATGTGCACTTTCCAAAGACAGCTGCCTACAGTAGTAGTCCCTCATTATTTTGTGGCTCTACTTCTGTGGACTCACTGTTTCACATTTTTTCAAAAAAAATATTAATCTAAATTATGTATCGCAGATTTTTCGCTATATCATGGGATTTTGCATACATGTTAAAATTACATACATAGATTTATGAGTTTAGAAAATAAGAATATTGGGGGCCAGGGAGATGGTTCAGTGGAATAAGTACTTGCCTGGCAAGCACAGGGGCCTGAGTTCAATCCCTGGTTCTGCCAAAAAACAAAACAAATAAAAAAAAAAAGAAAATAAGAATATTAGAAGTGTTTTTAAAAGTGTGGGCAAGGTTTATAAGAATGTGGGAAGGGTTTATAAAG